TTCTTTCTTCTTCTCCTCTAATCTCTCTCTCTTCTCTCTCTCTCTCTCTCTCCTCCTCCTTCCTCTCCTCTTTCTCTCTCTCTCTCCTCCTCTTCTCCTTCCTCTCTCTCTCTCTCTCTCTCTCTCGTCTCTCTCTCTCACTCGTCTCTCTCTCTCTCTCTCTCTCTTTCTCCTCTCTTCCTCTCTCTCTCTCTTCTCTCTCTCTCTCTCTCTCTTCTCTCTCTCTCTCTCTTCTCTCTCTCTCTCTCTCTCGTCTCTCTCTCTCCTCTCTCTCTCTCTCTCTCTCCTCTCTTCTCTTTCTCTCTCGTCTCTCTCTCTCTCTCTCTCTCTCTCTCTTCTCTCTCTCCTCTTCTCTCTCTCTCTCTCTCTCTCTCTCTCTCTCTCTTTCTCTCTCTCTCTCATCTCTCTATACTCTTATATATTTCTTTCTCCCCTGATCTCTCTCTCTCTCTCTCTCTCTCTTCTCTCTCTCTCTCTAATCTCTATCTCTCTCTCTCTCTCTCTCTCTCTCTCTCTCTCTGCTCTCTCTCTCTGCTCTCTCTCTCCTCTCTCTCGCTCTCTCTCATCCGCTCTCTTCCTCACACATCTGTCTTCTCTCTCGCTCTCTCTCTCTCTCTCTCTCTCATCTTCTCGTATTCTCTAACACTTTCTAGATCTGCAACCTCGACGACCTATCATCGACCTATCGCACGACTATCGAATGATCAGTTAGGCTTGTGTGATCTCGCTGCCTGCCGCGCCACCAAGCGGCGCACACGCGTCCTTCCCGTGACCTTCCCATGACCTTCACGACTCCATGACGCCCTCTAGGAGTCGAGTGCCCGTGATGATCGCGGTCGTGGCGATTATGAATCGGTAGTCTGTAAGAGACAATCATGATAGGGTTAGGGTCAGGTTTAGGGCTAGGGTGATGGTTAGGGTAGGGGTTAGGGTTAGCGTGAGGGTAAGGGTAAGGGTTAGGGCTAGGGTTAGGATTGAGGTAAGGGTTAGGGTTATGGCTAGGGCTAGGGTTAGGACTAGGTTTCGGGTTAGGGTTATTGTTAGGACTAAGGTTAAGGCTAGGGTTAGGGGTAGGGTTAAGGGTAGGGTTAGGGTTAGTGTGTTCGATAAATGTCCCAGACTGGCCAAATTATCGTGGGTTGAGTTTGATTTGAGAGTGACAAGCAGGCTAAAGACATGTCATTTATGTAGCCAGCTAACGTATTTATCCATTGTATTACAGGCTACAGTTTAGCCGTCTATGCTGTAAGAAATTGCCTCCGTCTCTCAGCACTGTGGGTCGTAAAGTTCTGTAGGGTGGGGGGCGGGGCAAGGGCTACGCGGATAGAGCTCTGTGGGTCGCATACCCTTTTATGCGGAGCAAAAGGCTACACGGGCAAAGTAAGGTAAGACCTAGGATGAAAACCGACACCAGGTGGCCAGAGACACACCCGTCACCTGTGACGTGTCACATTCTGTTTGTTACCTCAGACGCTACTTTCAAAATAACTGGCGCGCATTGTGCGTATATAACTAATAAAGCAGGTAAAATAGAAAACACACGTAACAGCGCAGGATTAAGGCAAGATTAAGGCGGGATTAAGATCAAGGCAGTTAATTACCCGTGGTAACGAAGTCAACAAACGATGGTACGGTCATACATGTTTACCTTGGTGATTAACAGGGTGCATTTCAAACAAAGCTAATTTTTCGAACGCAAGAACGCACGATATATACTAAACTCAAATCTAGATCATGCCTAGACCGCACGTGCAGTCATGGAAGCTAATATTTCATGTTGATTTGCAGCAGCAAGCAAACAAAAAACATTGTTTATTTCTTTGATGCCTGGATACACACATTTGAATCTCAACGTTTTTATTATTTATATAATTGTTTTATATAAACTTCAAGTTCACGTATATATGTATGCATATATGTATATATGTAT